TAGTACATAATATTTTCAGTACATGATGTTTTCCTACTTTTTGTGGAATTGGTGCATGTACACAACATATCTTGATTCATTTTTCATCTCCTCTCCCTGCCTATGACTCTATTTCTCGATCCCATTCCCCTTTGACAAATACCTATCTCCCTACATTCTATTGTTTATCGATTTTGCTCTTTATCCATACTTTGAGTTTTTCATATAAGAAGAACCATATTATATTTAAGCTCATGTGTCTGATTTATTTCCCTAAATATTTTCATCCCAAGGTGCATGCATTTTCTTACAAAGACTCATATTTATCTTTCTTTATGGCAGAGTATTGCTCCATTGTGTGTAAATAGCACATTTTCTTCCTCATTTCATCTGTTGACAAACACATAAGGTGCTTCCATGAGTGAGTTATTATTGATTGTGGAGTTATAAACGAGTGCTACCCAAATATTCCCCTGCTAGGTATCTTTCTAAAAGGGCTGAAGACATTCATTTTTTTTTCTTTTTGAGCTGATAAATTTCAAGCTGATTGTGCATAGAACCCACTCTCTCTTGCCTAGTGTATGATAAGCCTCTGGAAAAACCCATTCACTTTTTTCACTTAGTTATCTTGTAATTTCTCTTCTTTTATATTAAAAAAAACCTCAAAGGAGATCTAATCAATTCTTCTCTCCCCATATCTTTCCAGGGACAATCCAACAAAGCTTTGGTCTGATTTCTTATCTAGCAAGCTCACTGTTGCCCTCACCATTCATGAGTTCTGTCTCAACTCTTACATTTTATTGGGCATCTTTTGTTGATCATTGCTAAGGAGAACATTAGAAATCAATCCACCAAGGCAAAATTTAGCTCTCATTTCTTCCATTGAGGCTTCTCTAAAACTTTCAGATATTTCATGTCCAAAATCATTAGTCTACGAAAATGGTGGCAACCTATAGCATACATGTCATTTGCTTTTCTTTTAACACAAAAGATGTTAATGTATGAGGGGTTTTTTTCCTAAAGTAAAACCTCAGTATTCAGGTTCAATATCACTGCTGTCACTTTTCAAAAAAGGAGAAGGTTTTGAGTTGTAGTTTGGATAATCATCTCTAAAATGTTTGCCACCTCTGGTCTAGGCAGTGCTCAACTTTTGAAGTCACCCACATATGTCTTTGGACTTTGAGTCCTCATTACTCAGAAAGATAAAGTACTCTTCTGAATGCAGAGATGAACTCCTAGGCCATTTTGTCTTCTGCCCATTCACCATAAGATGTTTTGTCATACCTGGAAAACTTTATCTTTTTTTTTTCACATTTACTATTCAATTTTGGGTAGTATATTGAAAAACATATTTCATTTTTAATTCCATTGATTTGTTTCTATGTTATTCTAAACTTATGTACTTTAAAATTAAATGGAACATGATAGAATCCCAGCATAGGAAACAAATGGAATCCATACAACAGATGAAAACAGATATCCAGGAAAAGAAAAACTCTACTAATAATTTGCACAGAAGAATGAGCCAATTTGAGGACAGAATATCAGATATAGAAGACAGGATTGCAATTAGTGACCAGGAAAATGAAAAAGTCTTAAAAATAGTAAGGGATCATGAGAAATCAATCCGGCAGCTGCTAGAAGATACAAAGAAGATTTATATAAGATTGATCAGACTCAATGAAGTAACATGAGAAAGTGCAAATGACAGAATAAAACTGTCCACAGAAGTAGTAGAAGAAAATTTCCCAAGCAGAGGGAAAGAACTTGACATACAAGTAAGTGAGGCATAAAGGATTCCAACTAACAATGATCAAAAAATGGCTACAATTATCAATAAAATAGGTAAGATTCCAGGAACCAAGACAGAAGAAGAAAATTCTACAAGTAGAGAAAAGAAACAAAGCACAAACTAAAGAAAGCATATCAGAATAAAAACAGTCTTCTTAACACAAACCCTCAAATCAAAAATAGCCTGGGGTGAAATATTTCAAGCCCTAAAAGAAAGCAACCTCCAACCCAGATTGATGTACCCTGCAAAATTATCTTTAAAAATTAATGAAGAAATAAGAAGCTTTAATGACAAAGAGCACCTCAGCAACTTCATGAATACCAAACCAGGAATCCAAAAAATTTTAGACAATATCTTGGAAAACACAATTAGGATCAGAACTCAAGGATTTCCAGCAGAATGACAACAAATGAAATCATCAGGCAGGACAATCAGTTATGACCATCAATGTTAATGGTCTCAATTCCCCAATCAAAAGAAACAGGCCTGCAAATGGGTCAAGAGGCAAGATCCAACAATGTGATTCATGCATACAAGGAACAGACTTAATTCAAAAAGAAACTCATAGAAAGTTAAAGGGTGGAAAACTAT